GTTGTTGGCCTAATGTTTCTCGTCCTAATCTAAGCAAATTAAAAGATTAATTCACGTAGCGGGCTGTTTTGACCCTGCCTGTCAGGTCCAACCTAGAACTCTAGAATACTGTATCCGGGTGAAGATATGGAGATACACAATACTCGACAAGCTATCAACCCCAACAAAACACACACGCACACTCACGCACACTCACACACACACACACACACACGCGCGCGCGCGCGCGCGCGCGCGCACACACGCACACCACCATCACCACTAGTATTATCATTGACCACCACTCCCATTCGAATTGAACTGTTCGAAGAGTCTTAACTATGACGTCACAGAGGCCAGAGTTTTTTTTATATTCGGAGGGGGTGGAGGACAAAAAATAATTCGATGGCATTGGATTGTACCCATACCAAGCGACAACGACAATATCCTCCAAGACCATAATGTAGCTTAGGGTACTGAGAAGCACATCGATATAATAACGGTCATTTAGTGCAGCAGAAAGGCAAGACAGACAGATAGAAACAACAGAGGGAAAGAAAAGAAGTAGGACCTTCCAGTGGCGCCACGGCGCCCTCCGACCATCCGCGACTATATAAATTAACTGAACAAAAGCTGCACAGGTCACAACATGAGGATATCACCACAAACGTAGCCAAGGTGATAAATATAAAAAACAACAACATCAGACCTACTAAACATCACAGTCGATAACAACAAAATAAAGCAAAAGTAGAAAATGTCAAGTGTCTGGGAAATGTGTTGATCCACGAAGGAAAGATAGAGAAATAGAAGCCAGAATAAAATTGGCCAATGATGTTTTGACCTGCCAACTGGCACCATTATTTTCTCATCCCCACACCACAATTGAAACAAAGAGCCAACTCATTAACAGGTTCTTCACACCAACACTGTGCTACTCTGCCAAGACTCCCAACAGACAATAACAGCGAACACATACAACAAGAGATCAGATGGATATTGTATTAGAGGAAGAGTTAGGCCCAGGAAAAGATGGATAGAGAGGGTCAAAGAAACATTAGACAAAAACAACAAAACCATCCATTAAAGACGATACAACAAACAAGACAAAGACGTTTGCTTCTCCCCTCCACATAGCAAAGTAACACAGGCCGAAAAAAGTAAAAGTAACAGGGAAGTCCATACACTCTTATACTATTGTAATAAGGGGCTTTTACGCTATTACGAGAGTATAAAACTCGTGGCATTTAAAGAACCCAAATCGAACTCTGAAAAGGAAAAACACCAATAACACAGACATAAGGTTTGTCTAAATCGATTCCACGACACATCTTTCATTTTTCCATTGAAAGGGCTGTTACACTCATGTAACACTAGATTTCTACCTTGGATTTGCCGGGTGGGTCATGTGTGGACGTGAGGGTTACCTGGTGACAGGTCCACCCACTTTTGGTGCTTTGTGCAGCGCGACAGGATGATGGGACAATGCACTATCTCCAACCAGCCATGCGGGGCTGCACATTCCATGGGCGGGGTCGGGGGGCGGGGGTTGGTTAGAAAAACCTCCAAAACCATAAAACCCCAAAACCCAAACAGAGCTGTTAACCTAGTTATTTGGCACCTTCCCCTGTCTTTTTTCCTTTAAATATGCACTTCTTTCATTCTTATTTCTTATATATTTCTTTATACTTTTTTCCCCTCTCTTCTTTGTTTCCTTTCCGTTTTCTGCCCTGGCCTCTCACCTTTTCCTTATTTCTTTTACGGATGTATACAATAATTATATCATTCTCTTACGCCTGTTTCTTTATAATATGTATTAGGTTCGTATTCCACCCTCACTTGCCTCAAACTATTGTTATTGACAGGAAACTGATACATTATATAATACGCCCTTTTCTAACAGACTGTATAATGTTTTATACCTTAAAAACGTTAGCCCGGTGGGTTTTTTTTTCGTACCAGGTCAGCATGCTGATTTTATCCTCGGTATATATAGAGATCCATAAATATGTTGCTGTTAATGATTTTCACCCATGTTGATGCAAATCAGTTAATTTAGGAGACGAGCTGCCTTGATCACACCTCCCAGTGTCAACCTGCGTGGTGTGAGACACAGAAAGAAGAAGCTACTATTAGAAATATCTTCCCCAAATAGGAATTCTACCGTAAGCTGACAAAACGCATTTTTTATTTCATTTTTGGTGCCAATCTTTTGAAATTCACTATATCAAAAGCCGGATCAGTTACCTACTTGTGTGCAAAAATCAAAGTGGAATTGAGACTAGTTTAAAAAAAATAAATGAGCATTCAAATTTCAGAAGAACAGCGCCTTTTTAAATGGTTACACCGACAAAACAGCCTATTTATCTCGAAACTACTGTGGATAAAAAAGGTATTGTGCCTGCATACGGCAGAATTAAACTTGTGTCTGTCATGTGCGAGGCTAAAAGGCAAACGCATTCCACCCCACATTCCAGTGATACATTCTTTTCCTCAATGTAGAGATATTCAAAAGCAACGCACGAGTCCCAATATCACTGTACCTTTCTAATGACACAAGGAACAAGATATTCTTAAAAACAACAAGAATAAAACCCTAATTTACTTGATGGTTACAACCACAATCCGATATTATGCAATAGTAAATGCACATACTCAATAATGGATACATCAATAAGAATTCAACTCAAATATGTAAAAATAGCGTACCCACCTCTTGTCTTGCTCTTTTTTAAAATAACAGTTCTCCGTAAGCCACTATTCTATACCCAAGGTTACGCTAATACCACAACACACTATGATTTTCAGTAAGGAGTACTTGACAACCCCCCACCCCATTTTTTGTGTGTTCACTTCCTAAAATACCTCAAATTTCTCGCACGACTTTACGCCAATTCACGTGCATCCACGCAGAGAGAAGACCCCGGATGTACGAGTACGTTGTTGGACAAGTAAGTTTTGGACGGAGGGCTCAGCTCAAGTAGATTTTTACTGGATTTTCAATAGCATGTAGATAGGCCTATCTATACTGCAAAGTTCTCCCATTTAAAAATATTTTTTGGGTGTAATTTTAAGTGTTTTACGGTGCTCGCAACTGCATATGGTCATGTGAGCGCGCGAAACACCAAATATTTTTATTTGGTAGGAAAATTAGCATATTGCCCGGGTGGCAACAAAAATCTTAAGTGAGACCCGTCTCACGCTGTCTTTTTCCTAATTCTGTGGTCCTTTTAGTGTGATTCCCTTCAGCCCAGCATTCACCGACGTGCAGCAGTGTCCCCCCCCC